CCCCCCCCCCCCCCCCCCCCCCCCCCCAAATGGGAGAGAGTATGAATAAACTACTCTTATAGTTTATTAAATAGTAAACTATCAAGCCATTGCCCCATGGTTTTAGAATTTCACATCTCTAGGTTTGACAATGAAATAATCTATATTTCATAGAAAGGCTCATAAAATTAGTCATCTGAAATGGAAAGCTTTTTGCTGCTATTTTGGCACTAAAAACAGCCAAGAAAATTGATTCAGCAATCTGTGAAGAAAGAGCTTGAGAATTGTCTTTAATTCTACAATGGTTTGCTATCTTTTGTTTCCAAGGAAAATAATATTGAGCCATTTTTAGTAAAAAGTGAATTATTTCTCTAGTAAGATTGATGGAGCCATACCAATCCTTTTCAAACATAAAGGTAAAAGTACAACAAAATGATTTTTCAATGTTAATTTTTATAGGCCTGTATGATATGTTTTATAGATAAGTTTTTGAAACTTGAATTTAAAAAACAAAGCCATACCCTTCATCAGGTCTGGGTTGTTTGGGGAAGAAAGAAATGAGATTATAATTGCTATAGATCTAGGAATGAATAGGGATTTGTACCACTGCCAACAGGTATAAACATTTGACATCTTTTGTTATAAAAGATCAATATGGTGCTTCCTGATTATATCAATTTATAAAATAACCCACATTTGTGGTTTTAGCTGCTTCTAAAGAACTGACAGACCTGGCCAGGTAGCTCAGTTGGTTAGAGCGTTATCCTGATATGCCAAGATTGTGGGTTTGATCCCCAATCAGGGCACATTTTTTCCTCTCTTTTCCTTTCTCTCTCTCTCTCTCTCTCCTCTCCCCTTCTCCCTCTCCCCATTCCTTTCTCTCTCTAAAATGAGTTTAAAAAAATTGACAATTTACCCTGCAGTCCAGTAATTTGCACTGCTAGATTTAACTACAGTGGGTTCTCTAGGGCTTTAACACTGTTATTACAGAACTATTACCATAAACATTTTGTTCATTTTAGCTGAATACTAGGAAAAATGTTTAAATATTTAATTGAGCCTGAAAACAAGTCATATAGTTGAAACTCTAATCCAGTCAGAATGTTTTAAGAGTAGGAGGAGAAAATTGGTAGTTGGGGTTTTCTTGTGGAAAGTGAGAATATTTTATTTGATTTTTATTTTCACTATAATCTCATATCATAGCCCAGCTCCACCAAGAATATATGCAGTGAGTCACCCTCCCATAGATATCCTTCAGCATGAACTGGAATATTTGTAGCAGCTTACAGCTACTAATGGAAAATTCAAGTTTTTTTTTTTGAAGACTATGACCATTATGGTAGGTTTGCAAGTGTTATTGCTAGCAATCCTCATATTTCAGTAATTAAGTTGATCTTTGTTTAAGACCAGGATGACATTTTCTTTTTTTTTAAATATTTTATTGATTTTTTACAGAGAGGAAGGGAGAGAGATAGAGAGTTAGAAACATCGATGAGAGAGACATCAATCAGCTGCCTCCTGCACATCCCCCACTGGGGATGCGCCCGCAACCCAGGCACATGCCCCTGACCGGAATCGAACCTGGGACCCCCGAGTCCGCAGGCCGACGCTCCATCCACTGAGCCAAACCGGTTTCGGCGGCCAGGATGACATTTTCTTGCAGCATTCCTCCTACATGGACCAATTAGCGTTTTTTGGTGTGTGTGTGTGTTTTTTTAAATGATTAGGTATATTATAGAATAGGATTTTTCTCTCTGAAGCCCAAACATACTATCAGGATATTAAATTGGAGCTTAATACTGTTATTCACTCTCTTTGGTGGTGTATATAATTGTGGGAGGAGTCCCCAGAGGAATCTGGTTGAATCTGAAGAACTAGTGAACCCCGGCCCCCAAGTATTCATTTACATGAGTTGATGTGTATGGATGAAGGGGTTTGTAGTTTTGTGTGTACAGATCCTCAGAGGTAGAAGAGGAATGACAGGGAGATGAAGACATGAAGAGGGGGGAAAGGAAAATTATCAAAAGATGTAGGACTTCCCTATATTAAAAATGAAGATTCTTCTTGTTGGAAACATGATGGGCTGTATATATAAATGCCTTGCAAAGGGTCGTAAGGGCTCCTTAAACACTGTGTTTTGTTCTAGAAGAATGGACTTTTCCTTTGATGCTTGCAGAAAAGCTAGTGGTTCCAGACTGAACCAGAAACAGCTCTTAATGCTGAAAATGAAATACAAGGAAGCCCATGAAGTACATATTAAAGCCCTTGGGCTCTATTTAGGACAATATGGACAAACTTTAGGGGAAATTTCACAATGGAAGTTGTTCTTATTCCTTTTTTTTTTTTTCATTTGGATGAGGAAAGTGGGGGAGAACTTCCTAGAAATTTTGATCTTTTTACATTTTGGAGGATAGCATGTTGGAAGATAAGTTCTAGTGGCAATAGTGGGGAATCACCTAAGAGAAGAAAGTAGACAAAGCTGGTACATGAGCCAGAAATGACATGGTCAGTTATATGCTGATGGATGTAGATGGTCTGTGTTCTGTCAAGGAACCTAGGGCTTGACTTGTTTCTCTAGTCAGGATCTAGAAATTCAGAGGGTGCCTTAAAAGGGAGCAGGGGATTGCAAAAAGCCAAGATTGAAACTTGCTTCTCACTATCAAGCTCCTCTTTGACACTTCCTGAATTACATGCAGTTTCAACAAAGACTAGACTGCTGCTAACATG